AATTCTATTTCTTTCGTAAAGTCCATTTTAATGGAATTTGGGTACCTCCCATTAAGACAGTTCCAAGCAGACATAGAAATGGGAGTATGCCGAGATTGTATCTCCAATTAGGAAAAAAAAAAAAGGGGAATATACTCCAAGTTTAGGTCCCATTAATACTGTTCCAGGTAAAAATATCTATAGGCTCCATGTGAAAATGTCTTTTCTCACAGGGAAATAACAGCACCAGAATTCCTACATGAGAAGAGGATCCCCTTATCCTGGCTAAGCAACTGCAAGAGTTAACAGGGTGGGATCTGCCAATGGAGCTGAGTCCTACCTGGGATTACGAAAGGTTTTGGATGTGTAGGACAAGCAACAGAGGATGCATTGCACATTGAGCTTCAGCATCTCCGTGTTGTCCCATGCCACCCGAATATACTGGAAGTCCACGACACGCCTGATTCTTCTAGTTAATTGATTTTTTTAAACTGCACTCAATAGCTCTTTGTTTAGCTCTGGAAACAGTCAGCAGCATCCACGGCAGTTCTGGCAGCTCAGTGGCGTTTTCACTCGCACCTAACAGGGGCCAAAGCTTCAGCTGCTGCTGCCAGAGCAGAATTCAGCTGGAAAGGAGACTGCAGTACCACAGGGTCCTAGAAAATAAAATTCTCTGTCTTTCAGTTGCTGCTCAGATTTTCCTCTAACAACCCAATAATCAGGATTAAAGAAAGAAGGAAAAGTAGGAGCTTTTAGACATCTAGACCTGCAGGTTGCAGCTGTGACTTCCTCACACAAGCACAACACACACATTGTACAGTATTATCCCTCCAGAAATCAGAGAGCAATTCCAGCTGCTCCTCCTAAGGTTCCTATGCAAACCACCACCCATTGGGAATGCAAATAGCGCTGCAATCACTACAAAAAAGCTCACTGCAATTTTTTCCAAAGCAATTCCAGCAATCAATTCCTTTTTTTTTTTATCTTGGCAGAGATGCACATCAGCTGTGAAGGACAGCAGCAGCTCCCCACCGGCACTGCCAGCACTCTGCAGCCTCTCCCAAAACACTGCTTTTTCCTACTTTTTTTTTAAGCAATTGAGAAATCTCCATTGGGATTGAAGGGGCCTGTAAACAGCTGCTCAGAAAACATGTCTGGGGTGTGGAGCTGCCACCACTGTACTCCTGTGACAAACGAGATGTTGGGAAAGGGATGGATGATACCACAGACTCCTTTAGACTGAGGCTCATCCCATATCTGCCCAGGGAGTGCTAAGTATACCAGAGCCAGGGAAAAATCTCCTATTCCTCTATTTTTTGCTGAGAATTGAAAAATCAAAGTTACCAGGACATAATAAATTAACTTGCATTCAAAGCTCCCCAGGAAAGCTGAGCATGGTTTATGTTTGGCTTTGCTCATGGGCTGTGTTGTGCACCAGCACAGGGAGATGATCCCAGGAAAGGCTTGGGAGCAGCACACCCACATCCCACCCCTAAGGCCTATAGTCTCTGAAAACAGCTGGGATTCCAATATAAAGTTCAACTGGATATTTCCAGCTAATCTAATTAAAGAGGAAAGAGTATCTTAAAACACCGTCCTAAGTTCACATCAACATATTCCCTATGTCCAGGGCAAAATATCCCCATGACTAAACCCCAGTTCTCCAGGTAGAGCACTAACTGAATCCTGGAATCAGTTGGGTTGGAAAGGACCTTCAGAGGTCTTCTAGCTTAACTGCTCTACCATGGGCAGGAACACCTTCCACTAGATCAGGTTGTTCAACTTCTCCATCCTAACCCTGAAACACTGCAATGGGTTGTTGCAACCCATTGTAGGAAAGACAAAACCCATGGGCTTACATCAAAAAATAGATTTCAAGAGGACAACGTTTAGTCTCAATACACACCTCAACCTATGTGCAACTACTGGATGATATCACTGCATTTAGATGGCAGTAACAGCTCATCTGGACAGGCATCCCCAAAAGTTCAATGTGGAAAAGGCTCACAGGAATCTCATGGGGGGAAAAAGAAAAAAAATCACAAACAACAGCCTGAAGTTATTCTAAAAAGGTAAACTAGGAAAACAGTGAAGCTGCAGGAAAAAAAATAAATTTGAATTTTGCTCCACTTCTGCTCCTGCCGTGTGAGCATGACTGCAAAGGCATTCCCAGGAAAGAGAGGTTAGGTGCACTTGT